CTGTTTCAAAACATCTTGTTTTCAAACTCCGCATCTTTTTTTTAAAATAAACCTTGACTTTGTCAAGTGATCCATAAAATATTTTTCTTAATAAATGCTAAAATGCTTAAGCATATTCAAACTCTTTCAAAACTCCTAAAAAAGACAAACCTCATTCAACTTCTTTTTGTGGCTTAGTGCATTTTTCTTTTCAAACCAGACCTTTTTGTGAAATAAAGAATATGAGTCTAATGTTGAAGTGATGAAAATTCCTATATTTCTACAATATTATGTGAAATTGATTGATATTTTCCACTTGAATGTTGAGACATGCTTATTGAGTAAATCCAAGTAATATTCTTTATATCAAGATGATGCAAATGCTCATTTCCTCATACTTGTGGGTAGTAAGTTGAGTTTTCCACTCGAATACGATAAAATGTTTTTTCACCAAAAATCAATCAACAAACAAAACTTATTTTCATAAACAAATGCAAGTGGTTCCTATGGAGTATCATAGATGTGAGGGGTTCTAATAACTTCCTCTTGCATAACCAACCCCCGTACATGAATTTCTCATTTATTTTATTTTTTCAAAACTTTTTATGGGTTTTTTCAACCTTTTCCCCTTTCCCTTTGGAAACAATAAAGTTCGGTGGAGACTCTTGCTTTTTTAGAGTTAATTTAATCAATAGCTTAATCTCAATTTTCTCGCCGTGACAAATTGGCAACTCTGCTGGGGAATAGTCCTCAAGTGGGTTGAGCCTAGCTTGTTTTTGTTTATGTTTTGCTTTTGTTTATTGTTTTGCTTTTTGGGTGATTGGTGACCTCTGTATGGTGAGATAAGTCATATACCCATACTTAAGTACACTTATGATAGGAGGGTGGTATAGTCATGCTTGAACTACCTGGTGTTAAGCCTCAGTAGGTTGACTTGAGATCCCCTGCTAAGTGGAGGCCTATTTGATTATATTGATGTCTTGCAAGTAAATCATAATGGCATTGTTGCTTTCAACCTGGAAGTCTGCGAAGCTGAGGACCTTTAAAAACCATTTTATGGGAAGGTTATTTGCTAGAGATTCTAAGATGTGTTTTAGTATTCTATGAAAAAACTTAATCGACACTTAAGAGTATTCTCTCTATAACAATTTAATAGGGGTCTAATGGATATGCACTGACAGTGTAAAATAGTTTTACACCATCATCCAATAGTAAACCAACAACCTGTCATCATTAATATTTTTTTTTAAAATAAAAGAGTGATGTGTCCTAATACATAGTCGTGATTGGTTGACAATGTAAAATTAATTTATACTATCAGTGCATCACATATTTCTCATTTAATAGTACTAATGTGTATTAACAAAAATTTATCATAAAAAAATCCCATCTACCAAAATGGGATCAAATATCTTCCTAATCTATTTAAAAATATTTTTTCAAATTAAGAGGGGTATCAAATATCTTCATATTGTATTGTTCTTGCATAGAACAAATATCCATCCAAGCTCCTACTGTAGATGGGGAAAGTCACAGAAGTAAATTTTTATGATTAGTGAGGATTTGGGAGCTACGTCAGTGAAGCGTGTGTTCCAAGAAGAATGTCTTGCTTATCCATTTTGCGGGAGCCCCTTTTATAGTGTTCTTTCTTTGTATCATCACGAGCCTCAATTAATGAGTGACGCTTGAGTTTTATAACTATATAACCTCTATCATCTCCATGAATAAAGATGATTAAAGATATGTAACGTTGCAATGAATGCACCGTCGATGCTTACGAGCATTGATGAGTCGGGCTGGTAGTCGACTATGGACCAATAACCGCGATCACCATCCTTGTCTGAGTCTAAGGTGTACACGGGCTTCTCCCCAGAGGTATAATGATCGTACAATCCCTCTAGCCGGGTTGTAGACCAGGCACATTTATTATCAAGCCACTTACTAGTCTTACCATTTCATCACCGATTATACTACCCGGTCCAGGCTAATATTTCCGGGATGTGCATAAGCCCCCCGAATTAAAATTTTTTTCACGAGGATGCAATGTTCGGTCACGAACTCACGAAAAATATTGAAGGTACTTTCGATTTGTACATCGTCCATTTACTTTTTCATACATGGCGCAAAAATGAAGAGTCATCATTTTCTCTTTCCTAGAGTAATGGTGACTTCCACCTAAACTTATGTTCATTTGGTGACGTTTTCCATGCCTAGTGTATTGTTCATTGGGATCTATTAAAATCCTACCCTCTTATTTACTTTTCTATATTTGGTATTTCCAGAAGGCGTTATATCTTTCAAGAGAGCGTTCAATCTTCCTCAAGTGTTCTCCATGTTTTCCAGGTATTTCCTTTTATTCTTTCATTTTCGTTTTGCCTTTTTAGATTATAATTATCTTGAGAGAGTGTGACGATGAGGGGAAACACTCTAAATCCCTCTAATGCCAAAGAGAGGAAAGAGATATGGAATTAATGCATGCGAGAAATGAAGGGTGCTTTAGGTCATAAGGAGTTTAATCAGGTCATAAGGGAGGTTTATAATTTTACTCTCTTTTCTTTGAGTGACTCTGACCATGGTTCTTCCTCCTTAGGTTCTGTAGAATTTCTGATGGAAGCGTCTGTCCCATTTGATGCGAATGTCATATGTTACAATAATATTATGCTCTATTACACGAAGATTGCCAGGGTTCATTCTCTGATAAAAGCCTCCTCAATTGGAGACAAAAGCAATGTTATCCTGAAATCATGTGTTTTAGGAGATCGCGTATATGTACTTTGTCGAAAGAACACTGATGAAGATTTCTTTTACTTCTATGCCGGGGCCTTGAAGGATTTCAGAGTCTGTATACCCTTTTCTGAGTTTGAGGCTGATGTCTTGAAGGCCATGAACATTGCACCCTTACAACTCCGTCCCAATAGTTGGAGCTTTATAAAGGCCTTTTAAATAGTTTGTGAGGCAATATATATCGTTCCCACAGTCGACCTGTTCTTCTCTTTTTATGAGGTAAAAGGGCTGAGGAGCTTTCATGGATCCAAGTGAATGGTATTCCCACAAAAGTTTTCTCCAGATGTATACCTTCAACTATAAGGGTTTCAAAGAGTGGTTCCTGAAGGTGAAATATGGGCTGAGGTGTCCCCAAGTCTTATACTCTTTGGGTGGGCAACCTCACTTTCTCTTTTACTAGACTTGAGACCCTTCTCCTATATCTGATTTTAATGTGATTTAAAACAGATAAAAACACTCTACATAACCTATAAATCTTCATTCATCTTCAATTCGAGGTTGGTGAAATGAACTTTCCCTTTGCTGTCAAACGAAAGTGACCGATACTCGAGCTTGACAACTCTTCAATTTTTCGGAAAGTACAAGAGAGTATTCAGTTTGGATATCAGATATGTGAGGGATATTTCCTCGGTGACCCTAAACAGAAGTGGCAGTTTCTTGCCATTGAAATACACAAACTCAAGGTAGATATATGAACTCATTCTTTGGTTTTAGTGTCTTGTGTAGCAAATAAGGGATGAGACACACCCTTTTTATACAAGTATTGAGTCACTTTGGACCTCAAATTTTTTATCATGTATCAGGTAACATTTTGGAAATAAATCTCCGAATACACCATAATTTTTTTTAGAAAAAAGGTGACTTTGGAAATGCATATCCGAAAATTGAATGAGGTTAGTTCGGATGTACATATCCAAAAACTTACATGAACCAGTGAAAAAACAGAAACTCTGTAAACATGTAATGCAGTGTAAACAAAAAACAAACCATAAAATTAATGTATTAAATCATATCAAGATTACACCGTTGACGATAATACATACAAAAAGTGTATCAATTACAATCTAAAGTGCATCAAAAGATTCATTACTGCATAAATCTACAGCTGGTTACGTCTTCGACGCTTCCTTATTTGATTCTCTTTTCAATATCCCCGCAGTTTAAGCGGACAACCACACTTGCTCATATATGAAACGTTGACCAACATCTATCTCTATCGATTTAACATCATCCTTTACTTTTTTTTCCAATTTAACACCCTGCTTAACTTCAACTGATTTAATATTATCATTAGCTACATCCAGTTTTACATCGTTATGAACAACAACTTTGGGAAACATATCCGGGTGAACAAATATCTAATAAGAACCAAAACAAGAAAATTCTTAAAAACCAGCATCAGATGAATTCAGTTATACATATATGAAATAATATAGGTGAATTCAGATATATATATATATATATATATATATATATATATATATATATATATATATATATATATATACTAAGCATATATTTTTTCAGCTCAAACTAAAGATTAATGCAAGCAATGAATGATGAAATGAGAGAATTTTACCTTAAATTGTAGCTTATGATGTCTCCTTGATGTGTTAAAATGTAAGAAATCTGGTTTTGAATCGAAAAGTTGATTGATAATGAAATTTTTTTAAAGAGTTTTTTTTATTATGGAGGAGTTTGAAGAGTGAAAAAGATGAGGTTGTCATATATTCAAGTTCCCCTTAGACACTTTCGAATATATATCTCAGAAAATATCATCGAGTGAGTAAAAAATCTCTATATGAAAATGTGACTTCTGAGATATATATGTAAATTTATCCTAGAGTGTATTTAGAGATGCATATTCAAACTAAATTTTAAATAAAAATTAATATTTAATGCGTTCGAAAATATATTTTTGAATTTTAAAAGTGTAGCATTTTTGGATCGGGGGCACCAACTCTTCAACCCAAAATTTATTATTATATTTAATTATTAATTACATAAAAATAAAAAGACAAAAGTTTGATTTGGGTTTGCAGTTCCCTCCTCGTTTCCCATTTTCTCCCTTCGCGACTCTTCTTAACATTGGTTGTTTCTTTATCTGCGGAACAACCTTCCATACACACACTCTTCTAATCGACGCATTAAGTCATAACCGCAACATCACTCTCACCCACACACAATCTGTGTGATTATTTTCATTTCACAAAAAGTACCAACGCACTCTTACAAAAATGGGCGACAACAAACGCAAGAGAGGCCGCAAACCTAAAACCCCTTCCCCCGAAACCCTAGACACCCCCGCCACCGCCCCTACCACTACCGTCGCTACCAACGCATCCCCGTCCCTCATCGACGACGACTTCTCTGTCGGAAACGTCGAACTCATCGACAAAAGTGCCTCTTCCCATCTCGGTCGCCGCCGCGGCCGCCCCAAGAAACTCCCCACAAATCCCGACAAGCCACCCTCTGGCCGCCGCCCTGCTCGCACTGTAGACAGCAACGGTGCTGTCCCGACGGGTCCTGTCGAAGTCGGCCCTACTGCTATAGACGCGGACCCAATATGGGAGAGTATCTCGGCGAGGGTGTTGCCGTCTATGGATTCGGTGGTGAAAGTGTTCTGTGTTCATACGGAACCGAACTTTTCGTTACCGTGGCAGAGGAAGAGACAGTATAGTTCCAGTAGCAGTGGGTTTGTGATTAGTGGGAAGAGGGTTCTCACCAATGCGCATTCCGTTGAGCATTACACTCAGGTCAAGCTCAAGAAACGTGGCTCTGATACTAAGTACTTGGCTACTGTTCTTGCCATTGGAACTGAATGTGATATTGGTAACTAACTTTTATCAATCTATTATTTACATTTTTGCATTTTGATTTCTCTTATGCTTATCAAATTGGGAAGTGTATTAATGTTGGTAAACAAACTAGTTCTGTATTTGTGATTCATGGCATTGGGATACCCTATTTTCTGAGAATTGTGCACGATAGGCTTTGGGAATACTGAATTGAGTTCATTCTTTATTAATCATTGCATGATTATTGTTTGCAAACATTTTTAATTTTATGGGCCTTGTTTGTTTTAAAAGATGAACAGAAGTCACACATGATTTACTAACTTGAATTGAAGGTTGTAAAAATGAAGAATAGAGGAGAAACTTTCTAAGACAATAATAAGTGAAGGGTACCTGCATATACCAGTTCCTGTATATTTTATCCACATTTCTATTCATGACAGACTAATAAACTGGATTTACCAAATGAATGGAATATAGTTTAAAAATAGTTTATTGATACTGGAAGTATATTGCACGAAACTAGTAAACAGTATAAAATCATTAATCATAAAACAATAATGGTCATATGAATAATTTGTGTGGGTCCTTCTTACTATATGCTATGACTTTTAGCTCTATAAGAAGGTTATCATGTTATGAATCTTTGCAAGGGATGAGTCATAGGTCTAGATGCTGTAGAATTTTTTTTTTAAACCTGTGGTCATAGCAAGAAGTAAACTTTTCATTGACAGAGCCCCTCCTAGACTAACACATTTTACTAAAAATTGATATCTTGTTTATTTGAATACCAGTCTTCCTTTTTAAGGACTATAAGTTATGAAGAAAACCTATTCAAACTACTGTTGATAAGGTTTCTTTTATGTAGAATCTTATCAGATTAAAGAAATAAAAACCAAAACTTTAACTGATAAGAATCCTGTTGTTATATACAATCTTACTATGAATAGGATAAAGAAACTTTAATTTCAAAATTTAAAAGAAATAAAGTGTTCCCTATCAGCAACCTAATTAACAAGAGTTTTAAAAGTTGAAATATTCCAAATACTTCAAGATATAAGATACTGCCTTCTTTCTTGGTACTGTGTCGTATATCATATCATGTTAATTTTGTGATATAGTGGTGTTGCACTGCACTCTGACTGGTGACAGGTTACATTGTGTTTTTATGTCACACATGTTGTTCTGTGGTATGCGACTAAAATCATAATCACAATTTTTCACAATACTATTGCATCATGGAGGTTAAAGCCCTATTTTTACCTTACTTTTTAATTTTTGTTAATCACTAGACATTTGGTATAAATGTTTTGGAAACCATTCATGTATGAAGCACGTCTTTGATCTTTTTGGCCATCCTCACAGGCTTGTGCCCTCTACCAGTCTACTTTCCTTACTACAAATCACAAGTCTTCTCTCTACATGCCCATATCACCTAAGCTTATTTTCCACCATCTTTTCTACTATAGGTGTTATTCTAACCCTCTTTCTAATGTTGTCACTTCTGATCCTATTTTGTCTAGTATTACCACAAATCCAACACAACATCTTCATCTTTGCTACAACTAATTTATTTTCATGTTGGTTCTTATGTTGTCAATACCGCGCTATAGAGGTGCTATAGTAGAACTAGGTAGCAGTGGTAGGGTTCGGCACAATGCTTTTGGTCTGCCAACAATAGTGGATGTGGCCACCACTTTTGCGACCCCAATCCCCCATCCTGCCGCTATTAGGATTTCAGGGAAAATTCTCTCAATGCCTTTTTTCTAACCCATGTCCTTTTTAAGGGTATGAATGCCAACATTCTGGATTAACAACATAGGTTGGTTATTTGCATCCCAAGATTCTGTCCTAGTCTAACACATATTTTACTAAAAATTGATTTCTTGTTTATTTTAATACATGTCTTCCTTTTTAAAGGCTATAAGTAATGAAGAAATCCTATTCAAACTACTGTCGATAAGATTACTGCCTATTTTAAATGTTTTTTTACTTTGTCAATCCATGGACATTTGGCATAAAATTTTAGGAAACACTGTCATTTCTGACCATCATTCATGTATGGAATGGAACAAGCCTTTGTTCATTTTGGTCATCCTTAGAGGCTTGTACCCTCTATCGATTGCTGGCCAATGGCCATTTTTGGACGATTTTGGCCCCCCCACTTGTTGGTGCTCATTACTTTAATTTTGAGCACTTATATGCAAATGTATTATTATGTTCATATGATGGATCTATCATCTTTGTTATAGCAGCCATCTTGTTAGCAACTATTGAGATAACGTTTTGTCGTCTACCACATCACGGGCCCATGCTGCTATCCCAAATTGGTGACTGCAATTTATAATAGATTTAGGTGGAGAGTTTGAGGGAATTTTGTTAAACTTTGTAATATGAATTCTTATTAATGCATGCGGTTCTTTGCATTTGCAGCCATGCTTACCGTTGATGATGATGAGTTCTGGCAAGGTATGTCACCTGTGGAGTTTGGAGATTTGCCTACCCTTCAAGATGCAGTAACTGTTGTGGGCTACCCAATTGGAGGAGACACTATCTCTGTGACCAGTGGTGTTGTATCACGCATTGAGATTTTATCTTACGTCCATGGTTCCACAGAACTTCTAGGTTTACAGGTTGGAATAATTGATCGTCCACTTTCATCATCTAGTGGTGGTTCATTTAATGTAGCCTAGTTTTCCTTCATCAATTTTGTTATTTTTTGCAGATAGATGCTGCTATAAATTCTGGAAATTCTGGTGGACCTGCATTTAATGGTAAAGGAAACTGTGTGGGGATAGCATTTCAGTCTCTCAAACATGAAGATGTGGAGAATATAGGTTATGTTATTCCAACGCCAGTTATCACTCATTTCATCCAGGATTATGAGAAGAATAAAGGATATACTGGTAATGTGGTTGCCGTGAACTAAGATGTAGATTTCACTTTTAAATCTTTAGCTGAGCATCGTAAAATCTAAATGTTGAAGTTTTATTTGCTTACACCAAATTTCTCAATCTTCTGTTATAGGGTTCCCTATTCTTGGGGTTGAGTGGCAGAAAATGGAAAATCCCGATCTACGAATGGCAATGGGCATGAAATCTAATCAGAAAGGTGTGCGCATTAGAAGAATTGATCCTACTTCTCCTGAATCAAAGGTTTTGAAACCATCCGATGTTATTCTTAGCTTTGACGGGGTTGATATTGCCAATGATGGAACAGGTGATTTTTATTCTTCAGTTTTGTTATACATCTATGCACGCCGTGCAGTTTATATTTGTTTAACTAGCTACTAAAAGCCTTCTGGGAGGACTTACCGATTCATATTTGACATCAACTATAGTAGGAGAAAACAGAGTTAAACTTTACCTCTTTTTTATACACAATGATAGCATTCATTCAGCATGCCAGAGCTCATTAATATGTTGTATGAATTTGGATCTTTCGCATAAGCTATAAATTTTGTGAATAAGTGCATTGTAATAGACCTTTAATACCTTGAAACTGCACTCAACAAACAATTTGTATAAAATCAGTGGAATATATTTCTCTCCAGTCTCCATATCTGTCTATATTTAGCACTTGCTATTTGGATTAGTACTATGTCACAGTTTAGGTTTGCTCTACTAATTTCAGTTTAGATATGAACAAAAGAAGACACAACTCTGGCATTGCTCATCAGTCTAAATACATTACTCAACCACTCCTAGATCTCATTATGCAGCTTAACTATTAAGTCCTTGTCTATATTGTTCTCTGTTTCTTCTTAGGCTTGATGAATTAACCAGCTTTGCTGTGGCCAACATGGAATATATACATGGTTTGAGTTTAGTAGTGTTTAATAAAGCTTTGTACACCTGGTGTAATTTTTCAGTTCCATTTCGCCATGGGGAGCGCATTGGTTTCAGTTATCTCATATCACAGAAATATACTGGTGATGATGCAGCAATCAAAGTATTGCGGAATACAAATGTTCTCAAATTCAATATTAAACTTGATGGTCACAGGAGGCTTATTCCAGCACACAGCAAGGGCAAGCCACCCTCATATTATATCATTGCAGGATTTGTTTTTTCAACGGTTTCGGTTCCTTATCTTCGTTCTGAGGTTTGTGGTACTATTTGTTTTTCTTAGAACTTGGGTTATGCCTTACCCAACCTCACTCAGTATGCTTGTCAGAAGTCAGGGTCGTTCTAAGGTGTTTTGATGATAGCAGTATATAATCCTTGTAATTTGTAGCTTTATATTTTACTCAGCAGTCAATAGTGGCCAATAGTGGTGCTATAGCGGAGCAGAGGCTGACTCTAATGAGAAGAGCCTTAGCGGTGCAGAACACTATTGTGGTCGCTATAGGGTAAATAGCGTGTAGCAGGGGTGGAGCGGTTTCTGGCCTGCTATCTTCTCCCCTCTGAAAAAATGAAATTACCCCTTAAATTTGAAGTGATTTAAGGGTAATTTTGGGTTAATTAATGAATTTATTTTACTTTTAGGGAAATTTAAAACAAAATTACCCCTAATTTGATTTTACTATAGCGATAATTTGTAAATTCATTAATACAAATTTGCTAAGCTTTCTTCTGGATCCATTATTTTCCAACTCAATTTTTCATTATAAACAGTACGGAAAAGATTATGAGTATGAGGCTCCAGTCAAGATTTTGGATAAACTGCTGTATGCAATGCCACAATCACCAGATGAACAACTTGTTGTGATTTCTCAGGTACACTTCTTCAGTTAGTCCTTTGACCTTATCAAGTCTGATTATATTGAGTAGCTTCTTAACTCTGATCATCTCTGACACATTTAGGTGCTGGTGGCTGATATAAACATTGGATATGAAGAAATAGTTAATACCCAGGTTGATAATGACATTGTTTTGTGTTTCTGTTTTCCTTGTTGAACCTGACAATCTATTGGCTTAAGCACTTTATTATTCACTGCTTTCTACTCTGTATTTCTGAAGGTTGTTGCTTTTAATGGCAAACCTGTGAAAAATCTCAAGAGCTTGGCTGCTATGGTTGAGAGTTGTGATGATGAGTATCTAAAGTTTGATTTAGATTATGAACAGGTCCGTCTTTATTTCTCAATCTGTCCTGCGTGCTTATAAAAAATGGCTTTAAGTAACTCTTATTAACTAATCATCTTCATTTTCTATGCAGATAGTAGTCCTTCGCACGGAGACTGCAAAAGCTGCCACACTAGATATTCTTGCAACACACTGCATTCCATCAGCAATGTCTGATGATCTCAAGTCATAGTCTTGTACATTATGCATCTAGGTTGCTGATGTTTCATATGCATCATACTGGTTAAAAGATGCTGATGTGTAGGCTTGACTTAATTTTGTTAGATTGATTCTCTCCATGTTATTGGGAGTTGCAGAATTTTATTTGTATGTACTAATGTCCTCTTGGAAATGATGAGTCCACTTTTTGAAAGGGATGGTAGATAGCTAAGCCCTTTTGTTGAGATTGGTGTTTTTGACTTTTATAATTTGGAGGGCACTGAGCAATGTTAAGAGCTTTCATTACTCACATAAACCTTTTAGACTAGTTACAAAAACAAGCTATACTCCTGAAAATTGAAATGTTTTCATTGCCAATACATGTTGTCTCAATAAATTGACAAAAATGAATTTTAGCATGCATGTTTCCATACAAATTGACAAAAATGAACTATAGCATGTTTGTTTCCACACATAGGAAAAAGAAAAGAATTATAACATGTTAGTTTCCATGATGTGGAGGTGAATGCACTGTTATTGAACTCTGCAAGGTATATTTTTTGCCACCTGATTTTATATTTGACCAAACACACTTAATAGACTGTAGTCATTGGATGTGTGCTTGCTTTCACTGAGACCCTAGTAGAGGACTCTCTTCGGCAGATGAGGATGATAATGATCCATCAACTTCTAGGCCATTCACATTTCCCTCTTTTGATTGTGCCCACATAACTGTGTAAAATCCAATGGCTATTACCACTGCTCCCATGACACTAGAAGCAGTGTCAACAACAAAACCAAACCAATAAAAAACAGATGTTAGTAAAGTTTACTTATGTTTTTGTGAAATAATGATTACAGTGAAATTTCAAACTACCACAACAAAGAATAAGTTAAGCATAGCAAAGGATATTTTTCAAATGAGTTACCTGCCAACATGAAGTGTTTCACCAAGGAAGGCAGCACTCATAAAAGCAGCAATGGCAATTCCTACAGGTTTGAACATGCAAACAAATACAGGTCCTTTCCTATCTATGCACCAAGTCAGTACAGAAAATGTCACCACACTTCCAAAAACTGCCTGCAATATTGTTTTCACTTAGAAGAATGAGCACTATTATAAAGCCATTTACGATTTACAATTTTTGTTTTGGTTGCTATTACTTGCTTACTGAATATATTATAGAGATAAGCTCAATATCAGCACTGAGATTCCAAGCATTTCGATCTTTGACTGCAATTAGAGAAAGTACTGCACATTGCATTGTTCCAAACAGGCAATAGAAGGCCACTATGGTCAACTGAGATGGATATCCTCTAAGAATTGCTGCCTGCAAATATACGATCATTAGAATCAAATATCTTTGCGCCCATTGATTTCTCTAAATACATACTAGATATCTCACCTGAGCAATATTCCATATGGAAAGAGATAAAGAGGCAGTGAATAGAAAGAGACCTCCAATGACCCAGTTGCTGGTTTCTTCTAATAGAGACTGAAATTCTTGCGATGCCGAGGGTTGAGTTTGAAAGCTGCAAATGGGAGCGCCTTTGTAAAGGGTCACTAGCAATGCTCCTGAGATAGACAGTACTGTCCCCACCATTTTGATCTGGCTTATTGAACTTCCAACATCCAACTTTTCCATCCTACAATTATTATGCATAGTTACAAGTTTGCATAAGAACCTCTAAACAAGAAGCACATTACCTGAAAATGACAGCTAGTACAAAAGTGATTGCTGGAGTCAAGTTGCTCATAGCAGATCCAAGGGTGGGAGAGCTGTAGCTTATGCCAGTGAATACACAATTCTGCATTATAGTGATGCTGCAAATCTCCGATCATCAGGATTCTTCATTTACATTCAATACTTTTTTAATCTCAAAGGAATATAATTTATAAAACAATCCACCACCGCAATTGTGGCAGCCATATCTGATCGCAATTTCAATAAATACGACGAAACTCACTTTGAACAATACAACTAATGTAAACATACCCGACCAGGCCGAGGAGGAAGAATTTGACAAGAAGTGAGAAAGACAGTGGCGGTCTTGTTGTCCTGTTGATGAGGAAAGAAGAAGGGAGGAGAATGGAAGTGGCAAGAGCATTGGAGTAAAGAACAAAGATAAAGTGATTCATTCCTCTTGTGGACATGGCTGCTTTGCTCAATGTGGTCAACCCAACATCAAGAATCTCTACAATCACCATTGCTGCAAATGGAATACTTTCCAACAAATAGCGTTTCAGTTCCATTTCAGAATGAGTCTCTGTCTTTTCTTCAGTATTGTTTTCAGACAGTACTGTAAGATGGAAAGGAGGACCATTGCCACCTAACTTATGAAATTATTGTAATAATAGGTGTGTAAGGCTCATTACATTATTGCATAAGAATTCAACCAATTAAAAAAAGGCTCACGTGTTCAATTCTAAATGTTATTTTGAAATTTTGAAGCGTCAAATCAATTTTTATTCATAATTAAGGGTGAAGTGTGGAATTGACTAAATTGTCCTTAAGATTTAGTTCTATTAATACTGTTGAGTTTAGCGTAATTGTTTTGGGGAGGTTTTCAGTTGATCAAAACCAAGTTCTTGTCTACATGAGCAACTACCTTATTCTGAATTTTTAGTTGCATCGTAGTCCTTGACCATCTATGAGACGTTCTGGATCACATTGAAAGGTTTGTGAAAATTATCTTCATGAACTTCTTTGTTCCTCCACGTCCATAAGCAGTGACACGCTACTGCCCAAAAATCACTCCAGTTGTTGTCTTCGTTACCGTAAGTACGGAAATTGAGATTAACCCAATCCGTCAAATCAACCTGCAAAAAATTATTAGCAATACCCGAAGGAATAATGTCTGTCCAAATTTGCATGGCGACGGGACAGTCATGAAAGGCACGAGTGGCTAACTCCACACTCCTACCATAAATAAGGCACATAACATCATTAATTCCCATTCTGTTCTTGTTCGCATTGGTGAATAATCTGTCTTGAGCAAGAAGCCAAATGCTTCCGAATATTCAGTTTCCAAATACTCTTCTAGTTAATATTACTACTGTCATTTGTGGTTGCACAAAGGGACTTATACATAGGTTTTATTGAATACTCTTCAACACTGGTGCCTGGTGCCTATACATGAATTCATCTTCTCCATAATGGTCTCTAGGGGGAATACAAGCTTGAATTTTACACTGAATCTCACTAGGCATCTAGTCTTGAAGAATATGCCAATTTCACTTCTTAGATATTAACCAGATCACATAGTTTGATTCCAGTAAAATGAGCCGAAATATGAATGTTTAATTCCTCTATCGAAACTCCGGGCGCCAACCAATTATCTTTCCAAGGATCAATCTTCCTCCCATCTCTAATGCACCAATTCCAAACGAGAGAAGATTAGGCTTCATCTTCATAATACCTTTTCATAAACTTGTGTCAGCACCTTTATGATTAGGTTGATCAAGAGAAATACTCTGACTATATTTGCCTTTCAAATCCTTACACCATAGATCATTGGGCTTATGATGCATTTTCCACCCCAATTTCATAATGCAAGCCTTGCTCATATTGTCAAGTTTACGAATTCCTAGTACACACTCTTCTTTTGGATTAGTGATTTTTGTGGCAACAAATATGTCGTAATCTTTTCAGTAAACCCTATTTTTTTAAGGTTTAAATGCAATTTTGGTGTCCCTATTTTTTAAGTTTTAGTCTCCCATTTTAAAAACCTGCTTTTTGATGTCTCATTAATGACGTGTCATAAGGACTGTCTAGCTAAGTCACATTTCTAGAATATTTTATTTCAAAGTTTTTATTTTAAGTTTTAAAAATCAATTTTAAAAGATGAAAAACATTTTTAATTAAATTTTCAAAAATCTTAAATTAACGTAAATAGAAAACTCAAAAGTCAAATGCAACTTAACCCTAATTTATTTTTGCAGTAATCTCTCTCTCTCTGAAACCTGAAACCCCAAGAAGAACACGAAGAACCCAGATTATGGGACGAAGACGCTTGAAACAAAGACGCAAATTCAGAAGCGCTTAAAGCAAAGTCGCAAAACGAAACACATAGTAGTAGCATTTTGCAACTGGGATTCGCGAATATGAGTAATGGACAAGTGAAGTTATGCTTAAGGTATGTTTTCTTGTCCCCTTTGGAGTTTCAACCATGTCCCACTTATTTTGTCTTGACAGTTGTTGTAGACCGTTGTAATTTTCATGTGTGGTCTATCATGTTATATTATTATTTAGTTATCTTATTCTAATGTTGTGGTCCATCATGTTTAATTTGTATTTGGTTGTGGTTCTAGTGAAGTTTAACTTATTCCATATGTATTTGTTGATTACTAAAGCCAAGTCAGACTACTTGTGTTAGGTTAAGAATCCACCATAGGGGGAGATTAGTGACTGTACCTACTAAGTGATATGTTAATAGAGAGGTAACTAAGATGGATTGGAAGTGGGATGTTGATTTTATGTCATATATGGATTTGGAGGGATTGATTAGAAGTCAGGGTTATGTAGACATTAAGAGTTTGTGGTATTGGAACCTTATATTCAACTTTTCACGTGACATTAGGCCATTAAATAATGATAAAGATGTGCTCCAATTTGCCAAAGATGTTGTAGGACACGAGGTGATAGATGTTTAGGTTAAGCACAAAGTATCTGGACCCCCTATGATTGTGGATCCAAGTGAATTAGATAATAACATTGATGATAATGATGTTCAATGTACTGGTTTTAGTGAGCCCAATGCTAAAGTTATTAATGAACAAGTTGATGTTAGTGAGCCCAATGCTGAAGTTAATAATGAACAAGGTGATGTTAGTGAGCCCAATACTATCATCTCATCTCTTGAATATGGAACATAAAAAAATAACCTGAAAATTATGTGTATGAGTTTTATAGATATGATTTTGATTTGGCATTGTCTGATAGATTGGTTTTAACAACTGTAGCATTGTCTGATATATTGGTTACTGTAAGAAGTCAACATTTGTGAAGACCTATTCAAATATAGTATTTCCCACAAATGAACCATAATTGTGGCATATGGTTGATCATGTGTCAATTTGTCCTCCTGTTATGAGAAGAGCAATTGGTCGTCCAAAGAAGTTGAGAAACAGGAGAAATGATGAGCCAAAGAACCCTCATGTACTATCAAGGAAAATGACAACAATTACTTGTAAAAAATGTGGACAAGTAGGTCACAATAAAAGAACTTGTAAGGGTAAGAGAGTAACAGATAAAGCAATACCAAAAGGAGGAAACACGACAAAGAAGGCAAAGAAGACAAATGAAACTCAAGCTGAAATTAGACAGGGATCTCAAGCACCTAAAGCTACCCAAGTTTAGATGTTGTAAGTAGATCTGAATATTTTTTGTCTGTAATGACGCAGTTTCTATTATGAACCACATTATTTTGATTATAATATTGGTTTTTATGAACCATTTTATTTTGATTGTAATATGGTCATTCATGAACCACCATGTTTTGGTATGTTATGAACAAGTAATATGAATCACTCTGTTATGGTATCAAGTATGTAATGAACATGTTGTAATGAATTTGAATGTTATGATAATTATCAACGGTTATGTTAAATTGTTATGTTACTCAAATGTTTAACAACACCCTGTTATGTTAATGTTACAAACCACTCTGTTATGGTAATGTTAAGAGTAATGTCAAATGATATTATGGTATCAATATCAATTACAAACTGGTTATATTTTGGTATCGATATCAAATGTAAAATGTTAAATGGTTATTGTTGTACCCCAAAATTTTCCCTATATTTTCTCAAGACATTTCTCACTAAAAAAACTCAAATACTCAAGGGTTCTCAAGGGTTGATCAGGCAAGCTCACCTCCTAAGCACTGAGCCCACAAATTAGGGTTTTGGTTTTCTCAAGGACAATTGGAATTTTGATGCTTAAAATGACTTTAATGGTTCATTATAGATCTCCAAGATTACTCATATCAAGTTTCAAGTCTTGCACCACAAATTTGCTCAGTCAATTGCTCAGATGACTGAAAATCAACTGTATTTGGTAAAAAGTCAATTGTGGTCAACATAAAGTCAAGCTTAATTATTTTTTGCCAATATAAAAATTTTGAAGTCATATTATCAATTGATCAAGGTTTGATCACAATTCCTCAAGAAAAGCATTCAAATCATCAAAGGGGCAAAATTGTCAAAATTAGGCTTTTGACTGAGAATGACTGATCATTGACTTTTAACCTAGTACATGACCTAATGACTTGGAGCATAACCTCAAGGACTTAAAACCAACTTATTGACCTAATTTCATGGCTCAAATTATTTCTCAAGATCAAAGGATTGAAAGTTGAAATTTGGATCAACTGATACATAAAAAGTAAAACTTTGAATTTTTGGTCAACATTGAATTTCAAAGATCCAGATTCATCAAGACACTTAAAAATATTAAAATTGGTCAACAAGAATCAAGAAATTCAAGAAAGTCCACAAAAAGTCAAAGTTTTCAATACTTAGAAAAATTCTAAGTGTTTTTTAACCTTGATAATTTCACTACTTCATGACAATATTTCACCAAGATGCAAGATGATTCAAGGAAAACTTTCAACATGAAAGTTGTAGATCTTGATGAATTATACAACTTTTTCCCTAGGGTTGATGTCCAAAAAATTCTTAGATTTGAAGATATAGGCTCATGAAGTCATGACATTTTTACTAAAACACTTAGTGAAAATTTTAGCAAGTTTAGGCAGATTTTTGTCCTAACTTCTTGACCAATTTTCATCAAGTTCCAAGTTGATTTAGCCAAAGTGGTAAACATGAATTTTGTAGTCAATGTTTCAATATTTCCAAAATGTCCAAGAACTTGGAGGTCATGCTTGAGCTAGAAGTTTCTTAGAGAAGAAGTTGGACATCTATTCTTGAATTACAAGGCATTTTCATGAAGAACACTTGATCAAATCTTAAACTTATGTTGCATAATCTTGCTTTGCCGGCTTCTAACTTGTAAATCACTCCATAATTAATTGTTTACACAATTAATTGAGGTATGATCCAAGTGATTAAGCCATTGTCCAAAGCAATTTTCCATTTTTGGAAGAAAGGCACCATTGCCATTCTTGAAAAGCAAACTTTATCACAAAGTCAACTTGTCTTGAGCCTCTAACTTGTTTGTTCTGATCACACTCAACATGTATGCTCAGAAGCAACATGTTTAAAGCCTCTAGCCACCCTACAATCCCTTGTAC